ATATATATGAGCTTTATGTTTGTATTGCCAACTACTTCATCCTTTTTTCTCTTTCCAATTTTAATGGGATTTAATGTTGTTAAGAGTATTTTGCTGATCTTATCTCTGGGTCATGTCTTGTTGTTCTAACTTACCCATTTAGACCTCTTTTTCTTATATATGTATACAAGATTGTCATCATATATATAAGAGCAATAAAAATCAAGATTTTATCAAGAGGAGAGCATATATGTCCAATTTACATTTTACAAACATTTTTTTCCCCATTTTTTGTTGGACTGGCACAATTTTATGGGTCTTGATAATATTAATATCTTTCTGTCTTTTAGATAAAAAAAAATGAAAGATGAAAAAGTGGAGGATAAAAGTGGAAAGACGGAAAAAAAAATTTTCTTTCTATTGATAGTATGGTAGAAAATATGAAAAAATGGATAACAAATATAAATTTTTTTCATCCATTGCTTGGTAAAGTTAAAAAATAAAAAATATATATTACTTAATCAATATACTCTTTATAAGTTATGATAACAAGATCATTTTTTTTAGAAAAGGAACAATCTTGTAAATGTGCAACACTTGACTCAGGCCCCTCTCATTTTCCCTTCTTTAATTTTTCAATTTGGAATAATTTGATTTTATGAATAAGGAGGGGAAAATACTAATCTTTTTTTTTTCTCTGTCATGATCTCTCTTACCAAACATGAGTAGAAATCATTTTCATTTTTCCGCTCTACAAGCAAAGCTTAATTATCTTTCGATTCTCTTAGCAGGATCCAAGGGGCACATACCTTAAAATGAAGTCACTCTTCAGCCTCCTTGGGGCTTTTCCATTTCTGAAGAGACGAGTACATACCCTTTTTCACATGCAAGAGACATCTATCATTGGGTAAAGGGTTTTAATAATGACTGTAGAAAAGGAATTTATTAAGATTATAACTATAAATATATTTTCGCATTGAACACAGTGATAAATTTATAATATCACAAGTTTCAAATCATTTTTTGAAAAAAAATCATAAAAAAGCCTTAATTATCGTGCTTGCCAATAAATATTATTTTAAATCAAAAAAGAAAAATGCTAATATAAAAAGGAAAATAAAATAACCACCGAACGCGAAGGATATCTTCCTTTTACATCTAAGGCCACGGCCCAAGTTTTATCGTGCGAAATGTGTTGCGAGGAGAAAAAGATAAGAATTGGGCCGCTCCCGTTGTCTTCTTAATTACGATGTCCAAACCAAATCCATCAATATTTAGCTTTTTATTAATTTATTGAGTAAAATATTCTCACTCTTAATTTTTAATTATAATTTTATACAAATTCATTGATTTTCAAAATAAATAATTTATCTAAAAAAATATTTTTCATTAAACACATAAATCTTACTATTAGTTCATCATTAATATTTTTATTAATTTAATAACGTGATAATATTAAAAAATAAATTTAACTTTTATTAATTTTAAAATTTATTATTATATATATTTTATTTTATTTTTTTTACAAAAGAAAAAATTCTCTCATACCACCTCATGGTTGATAGCAT